AGGAGACAGGATGAGGAGCCGTGCCAGAAAGGAGACAAGATTATTCCAGCAACCATGGGACTAGTCCCTTCGGATCTGACCGGCCTGGGACAACGCAACTCAGGGTTAGTGAAAGTGTGGCCCTGTCGGGGTTTCTGAATGCGGGGTTTGGGGGAGGCGGCAGGCAAGGCGAAGGGCTGTGAAGTCTGGGTCAGGCAGCCAGTTATACAACCTCCTGTGCCAAGAGTTTTCTACTGAAGCAAAGAACCAGAATAGCCAAGCAGCATCAAGCCCCCCAAAAAAGCATTTCTCAAGAATGTTTGTTTAGCTGTGCTTCCCCAAACAAAGGACAGTGAGGTTACACTGCACTTCCACAGGCATAGTAGGTTGCCAAGCACACCCCAAACATTTTGCATTTATTATTAGTTCATTTCCTAGCTTAATATCTCTCGGAGGAAATTAGGTATCAAAAAATTCCTTTCCTGCCCTACCCCATGCACATACCATTTGGCTTGGGAGAGATAGATAAAAATTCTGAATTTATTGCAATGATTGCTTCCAGTGGCTATTCAGTCTAGAACTAGACACGATGGTTCTGCCTGCATGCCATTTTTCATAAGAAGCAATTTTAATATTTGGAGTCACAAAAATAAGATACCAGTTTGGAATCACCAACACCTCTCTCTCCATGAAACCTAAATTCAAAGTCATTCTGAATTCACTGCAACTATTTGCATTAATAGCACTAATCCAACAATCTGAGCAACCCCAGCTGGCATGCAGACTCTTTTCAGAGTCCCAGAAATCTAATCCACCGCCAAGCCTGGGGGAGGCAGGGGCAGGTTTTCTGCATCAGTTCATGTCTGTTTATGTTCCTATGTAGATGTTCTCTTACTGTTTACCTAGGTCTTCATATGGTTGCAACTGTAACTTTGATAATTTTATTAACCCACACCCTCTTTTGATGAACATGAAAATGTCATGTCTACACAGAATTTGTTACTCCCTTCCAGGGTCATGCCCACCTTTCCATAATTAGCACAACAAAGCCGAGGTCCCAGCCCAGCCCAGTGTGAGGCAGTTGTCTTAGTTCTGCTCCTTACATGCAAATTGAACTCCAAAACCTGGCCTATGTGCTCCCAAATGGACGCCTCATGTCAGAAGATACGCTAGACAAGGAGAGATGGACAGGGGTAATTTAGCCACCTTTAATGGGGAAGAGGAAACTCAAATTGCATTTTCTATTCTATATGCATAATCATTCATATTCCAAAATGGAAAAGCAAATTCATTGAGGACTGTGTATTCTTCTATAGGTCAATATACCTATTTATTCAAAAGCTTATTTAAATACCTGCTCTATGTCAAGCTCGATGTTATTGCTTGGATTCTATGAGCCTGCAATGAAATCATAAAAACATAAAGTTGGGGGAGGGGACTGAGGGAAAAGGAGTTGGCCCTCTCTGAGCAGATCAGAAAAACTCCTGGAGGAAGAGAGTCTAAGCTGGAATTTAGAGACGAGTATGAGTTTGTCAGGCAGACAAAGCAGAGATAGGCAGGCAGATGGGAACTACCTGAGCCAAGGCATGAAGGCGTGAAGTACAGGGTAAGTTTAAAGAATAGTGAGCAGTTAGCTATGACTGGAGTATACATTTGTGTCAGAAAACGACAATGATGATGATGGGTGTATGCAGGTTTTTTATGGTTCAATTTTCACAACAAATGTTTATTGAGCTCTTAGTAAACAGAGATTTAGCTCAAAAGCTAGGAGCTTAGGTTAAGAGAGGAGATATGATTCTGCAAAACTACCTTATAAAGTAAGATACTTTCCATGAGGGAGGATGACAGTAGAGGAGTATTTCATTTGTTGGTATTTATTTAAAAAAATAAAAATAAACAATGGATTGAGTATTAAATGAGCACCTACTAACAGCAATGATACCAAGACGTTTTTGTTGCACTGAAGGAACTGGCAGTCTAGTGGAGTAGACATGTCAATAGAACATTGTATCATAATATATTCAGTGTTCAACATAGCATTTATTAACACTGACCTAAGTGGTTTATATTAATTATCTTTATCCATCCTCACACAATAAGTAGGTATGATTATCAGCTACATTTCACAAGTGGCAAAGTCAGGGCCAGAGAGGTTATTAACTTGCTCAATCAGGTTACTTGGCTTAAGTTAAAATCCAGGCAATTGATTCCTCATTTTTTTGTATTTTTTATATATTTCCATTGATTTTAGAGGAGAAGTTTTTATTGATTTCAGAGAGGAAGGGAGAGAGAGAGAGATAGAAACATCAATGATAAGAGAGAATCATTGATTGGCTACCTCCTGCATGCCCCACACTGGGGATGGAGCCTGCAACTTAGGCATGTGCCCTTGACTGGAATCAAACTCGGGATCCTTCAGTCCACAAGGCGATTCTTTATCCACTGAGCCAAGCTGGCTAGGGCTGACTTCTCATTCTTAACCATCACTCCAGAGAACTATAGAAGCATGAAAGAGAAACGCATAAGCCAGCCTAGAGGCAGTGGGGAAGACTAATCCTTCCACTCCACTGGTAGTTATGTTCTCCCTGCGGTCTCTAGGAAATATAGAGATCACTTATAGAGTCATAGAAAGCTACCAAACTCATTATACTTACCAGATTGTGTAACTTCTAGAGTTAAATATCAAAAGAGTATATTTTTCCCCCCCAATATTCACCTAGGTTACATTTCTCATTCAGGTTACTATAATTTTTCCAATCCTCTCTATCCCCATAAATACTAAATCTCATTGTATTTTCTAGGGTCTTTATCAAGGAAAGTATGAAGTTTACAGGAAAGCTTCTAATAGTTCTTTTCAGGGGATTTTTATCATGGGGTCCCAGCATTTTATGTTATATAATACCTTTTGACTAGCACTGTGTATTATCCTGGCTGTATTTATATTGCTAATTCATAATGTATGAGTTCCAATGTCCTTTATCCAGGATGATGAAACTAGAATGATATTTCTCACCTAAATTACTGTAAGTTTTCCTACTCCCACCAAATTCAGCCCTCTCCATCTTCATAACCACCATGGACATTAGGTTGGCAAATAACAAAAAAGAGAGAGTTGTAAAAAGTTGAGTTGGAACTTTAATGGTCTTATGAAACATCATCATAAGTAGGTAGCGAAAAAGCCTCAGAAGTGCAGAATGTCAAAAGGTGACCCTATTCTTGGAGAAGGAAGGCCAGGATGGGGAGCTTTGTATCAGTTAGGATAGCCTTTGTCTGCAAATGAAAGGCATTTCTCTTGTAATATAACCAAAGCCCAGGCCAGGGCAGATGTCAGCAACCTTTCAGGATCTTTCTGTTTTTCTGTTCTGCTCTTATCTTTGCAAGATTACTGGTATACTTTCAAATATCAAACAATATTAAAAACAATAAGAAGGACAAAGGATAGAAGGTAAAAAGAAGTTAGAGAGCTCTGACCACTTTGAATAAGTTTCCCAGAATCTATACCCTGCAACTTCTGTTTAAATCTCATTGACCAGCCCTAGCCAGTTTGACTCAGTGGATAGAGCGCTGGCCTGTGGATGGAAGAGTCCTGGGTTTGGCTCCAGCCAAGGCCTTGTACCTTGGTTGCAGGCTTCTCCCCAACATGGGCCCTGGTCAGGGCACATGCAGGAGGTATCCAATCGATGTGTTTCCCTCGCATCAATATTTCTCTCTGTCTTTCCCTCTTTCTTCCACTCTCTCTAAAATCATTGGGAAAATATCCTTGGGAGAGGATAGATAAATAAATAAATAAATCTCATTGGCCAGATTTGGGTCACATGACCTCTGCTAGCTGCAAGGGAGTCAGAGCAAATCACTGTATTACCTCAGCACATGCCACCCCAAGCAAAGCAGGGTTTTGATAGTAAGAAAAATGAAGAGCACACACATTGGTTTGACAAATAGCAATGTCTGCAAAATTAACCTGAAGTTTTCCAATTAATAAAAGAGTGGAGGAGAGAGACAAGCAAAGAAAGGGCAGTTGAAAGAGATGTTAAAACCCTAGGGAATTCAGCCAATTAAATAAAGTCAAGCCAATTTTATTTAAGTATTTCCCTTTTAAGTTACTTAGGTAGTTGTGGCTCTAAAATCTTATGAAAAAAATAGGGGTTGGGAAGATTTGGAGAGGGCAATGCATTCCCAGCTAAGGCACTGAAGTGTGAAACATTTTGTGTGGGGATTACAATCCATTCCCTGTTTCCAGAGAATAAGTTGCAAAGTAATGAATAACAGGGGCCATATTATAGAAGGCTTGTGTATATGCTTTAAGAAGGTATTTATCTGGTATAGAATGAAGAGCTACTGAAGTGTCTGAGGCCAGGAGGGACTAAGTCAGATTTGTATTTTGGATAACCCGTGTTAGTGACTGGGATTAGGATGGAATCAAGAAGATAAAGCTAAGGGTGAAGAAATAAGTTAAGAGGCAACTGCATTAATGTAGATGGATGCCCAACCCGCATAGCTCAGTGGTTGACCATCGACCTATGAACCAGAAGGTCACAGTTCAATTCCTAATAGGGCACATGGCTGGGTTGAGGACTCAATCCCCAGTGTAGGTCATGCAGGAGGCAGCTGATCAATGATTCTCTCTCATCATTGATGATTCTATCTCTCTCCCTCTCTCTTCCTCTGAAATCAATAAAATATTTTTCTTAAAAAAATACAGATGGAAGATGCAGAGCCCTGATCTAGTGAGGATGCAGAGCAGTGTACAAATTTGAAAAATTACTTCTTTGAGCATCAGGGGAGACTTCTTGGCGGAAGCAACCTTTTATGGCCAAAAATTAACTTTTATGCCTGCAGCATTAATCTGCAGAGTCTGAGGCAGCCCTACTTCAAATACTTTTTAGGAGTTTATGGGACATAGGCTATTCATTAATACAAATTCCTAAACAACTTGTCCTGCTATTTATAAGTAAAATGATCTCTGGAAATGCTTTTGGCAAAAGGCTGAAAATTTGAAATAATTCTTAAAATCTAAAGTTAGGAAAAGTCTACATCAAGTTACTTGTATCCTAAAAACCAGTTGTTCTCCAACTCTGGTATCTAGGGATCTGGAAAAACTTCAGATTCAGAGGCCCACCTTCAGACCTGCTGGGTCAGAATCCTGAGGATGGGACTGTGGCTGGGTTTTATCACAGATTCCACAAAGCATTCTAATATCCACCAGACTTTGGTCAATAGCATAATAGGCCTGACAGGGCATAACCAGTACCCCAACATCAGACATATTGACCAGAAAGGAGGCATGAACTCCAAGAATGTACAATTATGAGGCAGAAGATGGAGGCACGGGGAGAAAGGCCATCACTCCTGTGGAAGGTCAGAAGCATGGAGCTTGGCTACAAGGCTTGGAGAACGCAAGCAGCAGGCAGGTGGGAAAGTCAGGGCAGCAGAGGAGGGGCTGGGCTGGGGAGACTAATGGGGCCCAAGCATGGGGATGGGTAATGGACCAAATCGTAATATCCAAAGTATAACAGAATCAGATTCTCAACTTCCAAGGCAAATCCATACCTATGCTTTTGCAGGTAAATTGAGACAAATTTCCTCTGTATCTAAAGTAATCCATATTAAGCTATTTGTTGATTTAAAAAAGAGAATTTAAGGATTACATTGGTCAATAGATAGAAAGAATTGTATCTCTCATCCCTCAAAATAGAGCGAAGGATTATCTGAACAGCCCTGATGAGGAAGCTATGACAACCCCTACAATGCAATGCTATCAGGCAGGTTCCCAGAGGGGCAGATCCCTAACCCCTTTTGCTCCGTAGAGATCACTGAGCATATGGCTTTGGAGCTGCCCTGCACTGTGTCTGATATGGCAACCATTTATTTTGTGAATGTCCAACAGACAGGAGGTTTCATGCAATGGGGTCGAGAAAAGGAGAAGGTGGGTAGGCCTCTCTTTTACGAAGCTTTACCAACCATAGTTCTCATTTTCTCTGGGAAAAATAAAAGTACTGGCTTGACATAACCAGCCTCGATCTCTAGGATGCTGGTGGCATGCTGCTCCCTCTGAGGCCCTGCGAATAATTTGCAAAGACTTGTGTGTGAGGGCTTTCCCCTAGTGTTCTTCCAGTTCAGAACATGCTGTATGTTTGTGCCGGCATTTTTCTTTAATCCTCACCCAAGGATATGCCCTACTGATTTTAGAGACAGGGGAAGGGGGAGAGAGAAAGAGAGAGAGAGGGAGAGAGAGAGAGAGAGAAAGAGAGAGATAACAGAGACATCCATCAGTTGCCTCCTGCATGTGTCCCAACAGGGGATCAGCCCACAACCTCTGTACGTGCCCTGACTGGCAATCAAACTGCCCCCTTTTGGTGCACAGGATGTCACTCCAACCACCTGAACCACACCCACCAGGGCTGTGTTGACAACTTTGAGAGAGCTGTTCTGCTTTGGGTTAGTCAGAATCATAAATGGTCAATAAAACTCAAAAAGGTGTGGAGAGTGTGTGTCATCATAGCCGTCCTGTACCTGGAGCCTGGGGTAGCCTCCAACGCCTTCCTTAGAGAAAGCAGGCATTGCTCAGGCTCGAAGCAGTCACTCCGAATGCCCAGAGCGGGCTGGGTGAAGACCGGCCTGCACGCGGCTGTAAGCTCTCTCCTTCTGTCTCTTGAGTGTAGGTTCCATGAGCGCAGACGGAGCTCAGTGGTGCTCAACTTGCCGGGACTTGAGGTGTTCCCCGGGGATCTTCTGGTGTCAGATGGAGCTGCCGATTACCTGTGCCACCCACTCCTGCTACTGAATTCAGGTCTCGTCATTCAGCATACTTACACCACATGCCTGCTATGGAGGGTACTGTAATGAGCAGCGGGCGGGGGTTTCAAAATACTTAATGACCAGTATCGCAGGTGCTCTGACAAGTTCAACAGATCTCTCACTGACTTAGGCATCAGCCATGAATTACTGGAACCAGCTGAACACCACTCTGCTACTGGCCACTCCACTCACAGAGATGTGTGAGGTCCTCTTGTCAAGTAATTTGCCCAGGTCCAGGGACGGTCACCGCCTTGGAGCTGAATGCTCTCTCTGGGCTGGTGGGCAGCTTCCATATCATCCTGTGATGCTAGGTATACAACCAATGCCACACACCCCCCCTTCCAACCAGGGTGGTACCCTGTACCTGTGCAGACTGAGGTCCTGGTAACAGCGGATTACTGTTAGAGGAGATTGGAGTAGGCAGCCTTAAGGGTAAATCTTCTGCATTTTGAACTCAGTTGGGAAAGAAAAGAACAGCTCCTTTGAGAGCTGAAAGGAGACTTAGGGATTACCCATCTTGGTGGCTGTTAAACTGGTTTTGTCCTTAACAGAGCCCTTTTTACTTAAGAACCCTCACTTGGAAATAAAGCCTATAAAACAGATCCAGGCAGAGTTGCAATATTTGAAAATGGGGTGGGTCCCAAAGCCTCACCTCCAAGGCACCCCTAGGAGCCCAGGGCATCCTGCAACTCGGAAACTAGCTCATCCCCATTCACATATGTGCCAAGTGAGACCCAGAAAGGAGTCCTGACCTTACCCTGTCACGGTGCCAACTGGTTTGTGTCAGAGGAATGGAGTCCGGGCTCCTGGCTGCTAGTCCTGCGTGCTCCCTGCCAGCCTGCATCAGCCACCTATTAGATGGAACCCAGAAGCCACCAGTAAAAAAATCATGCCTGACATTTGTATAGTTCTTCACACTTTATAGCTCCCTTTCACATCTACCATCTTATAAGACACAGCCATCCAAATAAACGTCTGCTGTCTCCTGTGCTACAACCACCCGAATGCACAAACCGAGAGGGATTAAGTGACCCACTCACGGACAGGCCCCTAGAAACTAGAGCTAGCTCTAAACACAGCATAACCTTAACAGAGGTTAGTACTTGGTCCATGAGAGTTTGCGCACGGCCTAAGCTGGTGAGCAACGAAAGCAGTGTTTCAGAAGGACGGCCCCAGACCAGCAGCTTCAGCATTACCTGGGAAATTGTCAGACACATGGGCGGAGCCCTGCTCCAGACCTTCTGAATTAGAAATTCTCGGGGCAGAACCAGCCAGGTATCTGCTGTTGTTTTATTTTTTAATTAAATTTATTGGGGTGACATTGGTCAACATGAACATATAGGTTTCAGGTGCGGGTTCTATGTTACAGGGTCTATATATTGCATCATGTGCTCACTACCCAAAGTCAAATAGTTATTTGTAGGTTTGTTTGTTTGTTTGATATATTTTTTAATTGATTTCAGAGATAAAGGGAGAGGGAGAGAGAGAAACATCAATGATGAGAGAGAATCATTGATCAGCTGCCTCCTGCACTCCCCCTACTAGGGGTTGAGTCCGCAACCTGGGCATGTGCCTGACCAGGAATCAAACCATGACCTCCTGGTTCACAGGTTGATGCTCAAACACTGAGCCACACTAGCTGGACGTTATTTTTTTTCCACCATAAAGCACTTTTATTGCAATAATAAAATTTGAAACTCATATGTAGTGCAGGGGAGTTGGGTGGGGGATAGACAGCCATAATTTCTCTCACCAAACACTACATATTTATTTTTTAACAAGCCCTCCAGTTCATTCTGATGCCACCTAAAGTTTGAAAACTACCATGCTAAGAAACAAGACATAACTAGCATGTGATGTTTCTAAAGGAACTAGTTGTTCTTTGTTGTGTGCCTAGCATCGCAGCAGAAACCACATAGTAAAAGTTATGCAACATTCTCCACCTTCTGCCTCCATGTCCTTTCCCCAAGGAGTTTAGAATAGAGCTCCTGTGTCCCCAAATCATGGTCTAATGCAGTGCTGCTCAAGCTTTGAGGTGCATGTGAGTCACTGGTGAAATAGCTGCGTCAGCAAAACTTAACATTTAATACATATAATAAATGATTGAGGATGCAGAAAAGACCCATTTACATCTTCTGAATATTTGTGATGCTTTTCCAAGGCCCTGAAATTACCCTGAAAGCTAGAAAAAACAGAGAGACATTTGTTAAAACCAGATACCCCAATTGCAGTTCAAATTGGACATAAGTTACCACCAGGCATTTGAGGGATAAGAATGGTAAAGCCAATTTGTCCCTAAAGGAGATTCCACCCAAACTCTCCTTTTAAAAGATTAATAAGGTGGTCAGCGTGAGCACGATAATTGGTTGGACAGGTGTCTTCCAGGGTTCCAATAGGAAAAGCCCCGTGAGCACACCCTTTATAGTAAATGCTGTACGGTGATTGCCTCCATCTGATTGAAGTACTATGCAGAGCCCCCTGACGAATGGAACAGAGAGAGAGACAGACCTATAAGACATCTATTTTGTTGTACTGAGTCATCAGAACACCTCACCTAATCCTAAGAGACGATTCCCAGCTTTTTCTTGGTAACATTACAAATTGATGCAAATGACATGAAAATCAGGAGTCCAAATCTCATCACTTTACTTCCTGGTGATCATTTTAAAAAAGTGTGTTATTAAACAATGACGTCCTTCTCAAATCAAAGCAGCTCCTCAGGACTACTTGGATGGTGGCTAATAGCAACAATAAACCCCAACATAGAGACTGGTGATGCACTGGTGTTCCCCTATTTTGGGAGTCTGAGTTCACCACACCTGGGATTGTCAGGTGATGTCATCAAGACTCAACTTTGGTCTGGAAGAGTTTCTGGTGGAACAGTGTAAAAAAAGTCCTTTCAGCCCCAGCATTTTATGACTCTCCATCTTAAATATATTATTCAACATCTTTATGACATTTCATAGATTTTCCCCCTGAGTGATCAAGGAAAGGAGGCTGAAAAATAGTCTACTCAAGAAATAGGACAATATTACCTTCAGGTAGCAATGGAATACCAACTTTTAGGTTGCAACACCACTTCCTTCACTGTCTGCATAAATATTTATATTCATTCTGGGCATTCTCAAGGGAAGGAGAACTAGAGCAGGAGGAATTCCATCTGACTGTTTGGAAAAGCAGGTCTTGTCAAGCACTGCAATGCGCTGTCACTAGTTACTCGACGTTCTAATATGTTTTCTTTCATTTCACCCACCAGAATCCAAAAAGCCACGGTGGCCTTTCTCCAGGAGAGGAGCGGTGAGTGCTATGTGTTGTCGTTTTAATTAAGCCTCCTGTAGCTAAGGAAGAAAGAAGGGGCTGAAGAACCCCTCTGTCTTTGCATGACGGTAGATGGCACACGGCACATGAAGTTTAAATTATATCATCACGTCCGTAGTAGTGGCTACAGAACATGCCAGATCAGGCCATTTTGCGCAGCACAACAGTGCTAATCGCCAGTGGTTAACAAGCTCTGCAAAAACACAAAGCAATCCTAATACTGAGATGCTTTCCAACTCTAAATGTGTAACTCGATGCAGCTTTGGAAGCAGCTCACTCGATAAAGTCAACTTGCACAGGGTCTGTATGCCCCAGTTTGCAGTCAGTGCTGTGCTCATCGGGAACATTGAAAAATGAATGAGCTATTACAGAAACAGACTCCACAGGTACACTTCTATTTCTGGGAAAGCCGATTGGATTAGTCCTGGTGGATGTGTTTTTTAATTCATTCTTAGTACCATCAATTATGAAAGAGTCATAAATCTACATCAGTGGTCCCTGAATCTTCACAGCCTACAACGAGGGCTGACCAGAGTGCAGACTTTCCTCCAGGCATGTTCGGGGTAGAGGGAGGGCATTCCT